GGCACGGCAACGTCCGTCCAGGACGCTCTTAGCTCTGTCGCCTGTGCATCGAGGCGGGGAGGGGATCAGCTCCCCTGATGGGACTCAGCCCCTCACGGACTTGCACACACAACGGGCAGAGCCGGGGCCGCGGTCGGGACACTGCCCCTGCCACTCGGCCCGGCCCTCGGTGGGAGGTGGCTGTGCGGCTCCGTCGGACACTCCAGTCTGCGGGTCACTCTGTATTTTTGGAAGCGTCAATGAAGTACTGAGGGGGTGGTCAAAATAACCTGGCCACTCAGTGTGTGTATATACATTTTAAAGCCACAGTCAGTTTGGCTCAGTGGGTAGAGCGTCGGCCGGTGGACTAAAGGGTCCTGGGTTCGATTCCTGGTCAGGGCACAGGCCCGGGGTTGTGAGCTCCATCCCTAGTAGAGGGTGTGTAGGAGGCAGCCGATCCATGATTCTCTCTCATCATGGATGTTTCTCTCTCTCTCTCCCTGCCTCTCTGACATCAATAAAAATATATTTTTTAAAAAAAGCACCAGATTGCCGAAACCGGTGTGGCTCAGTGGATAGAGCATCCGCCTGCGGACTGAAAGGTCCCGGGTTTGATTCCGGTCAAGGGGTTGCGGGCACATCCCCAGGAGGGGGCGTGCAGGAGGCAGCTAATCGATGTTTCTCTCTCATCGATATTTCTAACACTCTAGCCCTCTCCCTTCCTCTCTGTAAAAAATCAATAAAATATATTTAAAACGAACAAACAAACAAACAAAAAAGCGCCAGACCTCTTCAGGGGAGTGAAGTCACATCCCACAGGTGTGTACCCTGCAGGCTGCCAACACAGAGGGCACTGGACCCAGCTGTGCCCCCCCTCCCCTCCCTCCCCGCCCCCGGGGCTGTAGGTCCGGCTCTGCAGGGCCACGGGGATCGAGGCCACGCCGTGTGGCCATGTCCTACCTGAATAAACACATCCTGGTGTTTGGAGAGGACGGGCCCGGTGAAGAGGTGCTTAATGAGGCTCAGGTCCAGGATCTGGTCGCCGATGGCCACGCCGATCCTCGGCCTTGGCTGGGAGGAAGGCGGCACGGTCAGCGCAGGGACACGCCTCAGCCGAGCGCGGCTCAGCGACCCACAACGTCTGTCTGCTTAGAAACCCAAGGTCCCCCTGTAGAGGGACAGAGGGACTGGGTCCTTAGCACTGAACCCCAGCTCTCCGTGCCCCCCAAGGGGCTGAAACGGCTGCAGTGACAGCTTGCGATGAGGCCCAAGGGCCCTGGAATCTTCTGGAAGGCCAGAGGTCGAGCCCCCACCCCAGCATTCTTCAGAGGGTGGTGGGAAGGGGGTATCGCCCCTAGATGTCCCTCGTGGCTGTCCCTGCAGATTCCCACAGGAAACAGGGAGGGCGGGGGGGCCTCGGGCCAGGGGCTGGATTGGTTGGAGCATCAGCCTGCACAGCAAGCGTGTCAAACTCAGAGGCGAACGCGGGCCAAACAAACAAGGTTTGCGTGGACGTGGCCGCAAAAAATCCAAAGCTTCCGTTTTCATAGAAACAGGTTTGTTTTGATGGAGACGGGCTGAATGCAAAGGGCTGAGATAAATGAGTCATCGTTCACATAAATAGAATTTAATAAAAATTAATATTTTTTCTTGAACGTTAACTCACCAGACCCTGAGTCCCTGCACAAATGGATACGCGTCTCGCAGATAAACCTATTTCTCTCGTTTTCCGGAAGCGAGGTATTTCCTGTGGCCACACCAAGCAGGTCAGTCCCAGACCAAGGACGTGGCCATCGGCTGCTGGAACCTTCACTGCCGGTATCAGTGGGGAGAGATGGTGCGCCTGCGCCTGAGGCGCGTGAGGGACGCGAATGCAACACGATGACAGTCATCAGTCATTAGCCAACGTTGTAGCTCCTTATTCATAATTATGTACAACAGGATAGTGTAAAAATTAAGTGACGAAATTTTTATTAAAACCTTGCATACCATTATATTGGCTGGGCCGCAAAAATACTCATTGAGGGCCGCATATGGCCCACGGGCCGCGAGTTTGACATGGGTGCTGTACACCAAAAGGTTGTGGGTTCAACCCATGGGCGTCAACCAATCCGTGTCTTTTCATTCACATCTATGTTTCTCTCTTTCTCCCTCTTCCTTCCTCTCCAAAATCAATAAAAGCAGCGCTGGCCGGTGTGGCTCGATGGATAGAGCGCTGGCCTGTGGACTGAAGGGCCCTGGGTTCGATTCTGGTCAAGGGCACGGACCTCGGTGGCAGGCTCCTCCCCGGCCCGGGCCCTGGTCAGGTCGCATGCAAGAGGCAACCCATCGATGTGTCTCGCTCACATCAGTGTTTCTCTCTGTCTCTCCCTCTCCCTACCACTCTCTCTACAAATCAGTGGAAAACTATCCTCAGGTGAGGATTAACAAAACACACACACACACAAAAAGACAAAACCCACAAAATCAATAAAAGCAGATCCTCGGGGGAATATTAAAAAAAATAAAAACAAACAGCCCGGCCGGCGTGGCTCAGTGGTTGAGGGTCGACCTAGGAACCAGGAGGGCAGGGTTCGATTCCGTCAGGGCACAGGCCCGGGTTGCAGGCTCCATCCCCGGGGGGGGCGTGCAGGAGGCAGCCGATCCA